TTGAAGTAGAGGACGATGGGGATGACAGATCCTCTCCACGTGTGCTGTGTAAACAGAAGCGTGTGTGGCTTGCTAGAGAATCTAGTCTAAGGGCTCTGCAGGACTTAAGAGGGCTTTAGTTTATGTACTTAACTTTAGCAAAGCTGAGTTCATCCCGGAATGCACATTGGAAAACAGTTCTCATTCCTACTTTTAAAGGCCTCTTGGGAAGTGATTCAACAACCAAAGTCATTAAATTTTGAAATCATCAAATCATTTTAAGTCCTTTCCTTCATTTCCCATGTTATTCAACAGCACATTTCTGGATATGAGGCATTGTTCACATCCCTCCACCCAGCCACCCAGCAGTCTTAATTATTCACTCATTTGTTTAATTAATAAGCATTTTTTGATCACTTTGTATATAGAAGGTACTGTGCTGGCGATGAAGCAGGTAGGACCCAGCCCTCTAATGGAGAGCGGACAGCTGCGAATCAGGAAGTGGGCAAAAAAGAAGAAAAGGACTCTGAGTGGTTGGTCCATTTCTTGATACTTGAAGAGCCTTCATTGTGAACATCAGTTACTCTGCCCTGAGTATATGACGACACTGTAGCCCAGCACAGTCATTGATATTCAAACTTAGGTATATTTAAACTTAGGTATACTCAGTTTAAGGAGGCATGGAAGTATATATAAGGTAATTTAGAAAGATTTTAATGTCAAAAGATTCAAGCTTAGAAAAGAAAGGTTACCTGTCATCACATCCTCAGAGGAACGTAGACCATTGAGGTTTCACTATAATACAAAACAGTGATCATATATCTTAAATCAAAAAGCTTGGATATTTTTTAGCCCTAAATCAGAACATAGCTACCGTATGTAAATATAAATCTTCTGTCAAAAGTATAGTTAAGTATAAAAGTATAATTAAGTATAATTATGGGTGTTTATAGAAAATAGGGAACGGAAACAGATTTCTGAATCATAGGTTGTTATACAAAGTTGGAAAGCAATGAAGTCTTTCAGAGAGTTTTTTTTTTTGTCCTTTTTTTCTTTTTTCGTGACCGGCAACGGATCGCAACCCTCAGTGTCGCGCCCGCACCGGACCGGGACCGGCAACGGGATCGCAACCCTCGGTGTTGCGACCGCACCTCGCTCAGCCAGTGAGCAGGAACCGGTCTGTATGTGGGATCCGAACCCTCTGCGGGAGCGCCGCCGCACTTCCCAAGCGGCGCACTGTAGCAGTGCACCACCGGGCCGGCCCCTTTCAGAGAGTTTTTAAGAATGAGACGTGTTGACTACTTTCTATAATTTTTAGTATTTCTAGTTAGCATAAAACCTTATGACTTGAACATTTAAGTTCCCACTATCACTAGGACCCTGGAATGCTACCCCTGGGAGTTTAGACGGTTTGGGGTTTCTGTTATCTGTTGATAGATTCCTTTCGTAGGGACCACATCAAGCCAAGGGAACACAACAGTAAGTTTCATTCCAAATGTCTGGACCGTAAAGGAAAGGGAGGTGTGTTTGTGTGTTAGTTATGCTCAGAATATTTACTTGTGTGGTCATATATATAGAGAACTTTGTCTTTCAGGAGGAAAATCCTTTCACTCTTTCTCTTTCTATCTCCTGCCCCTCTTTCATATTTTTTGAGATTCGAGTGGCTGGTGGCTGATGTAGGGAAATATTTCCTACCTGTGCAGACCCCTTGGGCCCTGTAAACGTGAGAAGAAAGATACGTCTTTAGCAGGCTGCCCCCCCCCCCTTTGCCTTGTGCAAGAAGAAGGTGCCTTCCTGGCAGGGGAGGCTGGCCTGGGGAAGATGAAAACTGACCACGTGTATTACAGTCAGATTAAGTCAGTGTGGGGAGAGAATGCAGAAAGAACCACCGTTAGTGCATTTCTCTAGAGACCTTTCCCCTTTCGTCATGTTTGCAAATACGGAGGGGAGGTAGCTTCCCCGGCAATGGAAGGGGAGTCCTGGGGCCCTTGGTAGCTGAAACTAACCCATAGAATGAAATATATACTCTTGAAAATATATTACTACAGGCAAGCTACTTAACCTCACTGTGCCTCATTTTGCTGTCTGAAATAGGGTGAGAACCTACCTCTTTCGAGTTGTGGTGAGGATCAGATCCAGGGAAAGCACTTAAAAAAGTACATGCTTACTGATTGTTGTCACCTTTGGTTGGCCTTGCTCTACTCAAGACAGACAAGCTAATGACGTGAATGACTAAGGAGCACAGGAGTTCAGAGAATCCCAACATTTGTTAGGCTGCCCCTGTAATTTTCTACAAGGTCTTACCTCTTTGTTTTCCATCTCATGGGTCTCTAAAATGCATACCAGAAAGTTTGTTGGGATTTAATGTATAAAAACCAGATTTTAAAAAAATGTAATAGCTTTAATAGCCAACTAATTTTAACTTCCCAGTACAGAAGAAAACCCTAAATTAGGGGCAGTATGACTTCATCTTTTTTGAGGCCTCATTTTTAGAAACTGTAATCACTATCTTTTAAGTAAATAGTTTGCATCTGTTTATTGAGAATTATAGACCAGTGATGAGCAATGCTACTTGCTGTGTAAATATAGGGTAACGATGGGTTTCCAATACTCGTTAAGTACTGTATCACAGCGTGTGTCAGTGATGTGTCACTATTCAGTCACCAAACTAGAGTTTTTGATTTTTAAAGCTATATAAAGCAGTACTCTTGCTTTCTTCATATCAAATAATTTTGCTTCTTTCCTCTTTCTATTTTCTTAGAACTATTTTAGTTTTCCTTTTCTTCTCCAATTCTGCTTTAAAATCTCTCTTGCTTAAAAGTTCCACCTTTCAGGCCAGCCCGGTGGCGCACTGGAGAGTGCGCCGCTTGGGAGCACGGCGGCGCTCCCACCGAGGGTTCGGATCCCATGTGGAGACCGGTTCCCGCCGAGGGTTGCGATCCCATTACCGGTCAGTAAAAAAGACAAAAAGGAAAAAAAAATTAAAATATAAATTCATCGACTGTACGATATTACACATAATACCACTTTTAAAAATTTGTCTGTTTTCAAATAAAAAATTTCAAGCTGAATATTGCTACAATGTATATTCTGATTATCACCTTAGGACAAAAGTGGGATCAATAGGTCTAAGAATATACTTTTCTTCAAAAATAAATTATCATTTAAAATAAAAAAATTAAATTATTTTTTGAATATGTAATACACACACATGGTTCAAAAATCAAAATGATCTAAAAAATATACACTAACAAGTCTCGTCCCCATCTGTTTGTTACCGGTCAGTAAAAAAAAGACAAAATGGAAAAAAAAAAAAGTTGTTCCACCTTTCTCTCTGTTTTTCATATTCTTACCATAAGAGTAAATGTCAGATTACCTTTATTTTTTTGCTAGCACTATTATTACCTTTTAACACTTATTTTCTACTATTGATGTAGGATATTTGAAGCCTTGTAATAGAAAAAAATAATAAAATTGTACAATAGATATATCAGCTTTAATACCATGATGTATTCTATGTTTCTTATGATGCCTGTAGTCTTTGTGTGTGGGAGTATAAAATATGTAAGATAAAATGAAAAGTGATATTAGATAAAAGGGCCGGGTTTATAACCACAAAAAAACTTTTTGTCAGTGTTGGGTGGGTTTATGGAAGGGGAAGAATAAAACATCTGCCAGAAACATCTTGACTGTATTTGAATTGAAATGGAACTCAAAAGGAACATTAATTCATCTTATGCTTAACATTTTCCAGTTTCTTTTATTTTATTATTGTGCTTTTCAAAATAACAATTTAGGGTCTTTGGAGAAACAATTACAGCAAGCATGTAGCTTGGGTTAGAATGTGGCTAGGTGGTTTTTTAAGTGAAAACAAAGATGCATTTTATATGAATTATTCTCTTTTCACATGGCTAATCACAGTTAATTCTTTAAGAAGAGTTTGGAGAGCTAGGCAGTGTGAGAGCAGTGTGCTCTCGGGAGGAAGAGCCCTCGGCCAGGAGTCAGGGTCCAACTCAGAAGTGTGAGTTTAGACCTGGGAGAACAGTGGGGTGCAGTGGGTAGGGTGCACCCCTGAGGCTGGGCTGTGAGGCCTTAGGAAGGTTGCTTAATCATCCCGGGCCTCAGTCCTCATCAGTGGAAGAAGGATGGAAGGACAGCCCACCCATAGGGCTTCCTGGGCTGAAAGGAACCAGTGTCATCGAAGCTGCTGCAACAGCCTATGTGTCACAGCATGAACGCCCAGAAGGCATCGTCACATCCTCATCCCCTCATCCTGATGTTGCCTGTAAACTGGTGTGAGATTTCACCCAATCCCTCCCCTATACCCTCCCCAGGCATTGGTCCCCCCTCAAAAATCTGAAGATTGTAACACTTGACCCCCCATCAGGGAGACCTTTGTGGAATTTATAGAGGTTGCGTATACACATCCTTATAGATCTGGGGTGGGAGGAATTACAGAAACGTAAACCATTACTGCATTTTTCCTCAAAAGAATAACAGCTTTTGGTAGCTGGGCTAGAAGGTGTTGTCAGTGGGTTTATGATTCGTAAACATACAGCCAAAACTCTGACACTGATGAGTCCATAAGAGGAATAAGAAAGATAAATACTTCCGGGATGTGAACTTGGAAAGGCAGGGCTAATTGGAATGTTGGTGCTATTGAATCGTGATTATCGGTGTGTTTATCCATTGCTAACGATGTTAAACCATGAAGCCTGTGAGCTCTTGTGTTGCAGTGTGGTTTGGCCCTAGAGTTCTTGCATGCTAACCTAAGGTAGAAGATTAGCCTGTTTGCATGCAGCTGCTGCTGCTCCGGACGTGAAGCATGTGCTGCAGGGTTGTCACGACCCCCCTTGGCTGACTTCTCCCCAGTCCTGTCTGTGGCCTCACTCACCGTGGTACGTGTATAACTACCTTCATCATTCATTTCACTAACCTGAACGGTCATCCTTCAGTTTAGCAGTGTGCTGAAAGGTGCCCTACAAGATTCACCGAAACCTGTCTCTTTCTGATTTCTTTAGATATTAGGTTGAAAAAGCTTGTTGATGAACGGGAATGCTTATTGGAACAGGTAACAATCTTTTTATTACTTTATGAGTTCTCAAACAGAGCACCTGAAACTTACGCAAAAAAAAAAAACCCTAAACACATCACACCTGAAAATAATCACGAAGCCAACTAGTGTTCTTAATATTTTTATCTAAATAAAACCTCATAAGTGATATGAGGTTTAGTGGAGATATCTCAGAGACTCAAAGCCAGGGAACTGAATTTGGTACATTCTGTGTGACTTGCTGCTTAAAATAAATGTTCATGTAACCATTCGGAGGCAAGGGCATTACTGAGTCATTCCAAACACCACTTCTCTTACTACTACCGGTCCACAGAAGTCAGTTTTGTACTCTCTCCTTGTAACCCGTCTCGTGGCTTGGCACCCCTTTCTGGCAGGTATTTCTTTGTTATAGCTGATCAAAGTTGTCTTAACTATGGTTCTTCATCGCCCTCTCCTGCCTCAAGAAATACTAAACAGTTCCTTTATTCGATCTCTTTGTATACAGGATAGTTATTAAATCATTCCATAACCACTTGCTAAGGAAACTCAGCAACTCTAGTTTTCCCTCATAAACCTCATCAAATGTATTTGCTTTATTTTTTTGCAATTCTGTTGAAGATTCTCTCAAAATTGGATAAAGCACTAAATGTAAGGTTGAAGGATTCTCTTCAAGTTCCTGTGGTCTTTTAAAAACATGTATCCGTTATAATTCTATGCTTATTTTCTCAAAGCACAATGCACCAGGGGTTTGTATTTAGGGTCTGCCACACTTGGCATGGGGGGGTAGGGAGGCAAATGATCACCTACAACAATCCCTCATAGACTGGAAGCTAAACATGAAAGGCACTGGGAGACTCTCCATTAGACACCAGAAAATTCTACAGTCATGGTGTTAACTGCAGTTCCGACTGTGTATGTTTCTGTCCCTCTTAGAAAGAGGAGAGCTGTTACAGGCCAACTCCCTGAAGGATGGCAGACGGCCTCTGAGCAAACCTGCAACTTGCCCGGGTTCTGAGAGAAAGCGCATGGTTTTCTTGGGGATTTAGTTAACAATCCTCTGTGCCTGGAAGGCCCCACGTCGCCCTTTCTGGCTTGCTGGTGAATAAAGCAAAGATTAATCTAGAACGCTGACTTGCTAACTCTTAGATAAATATTTAAAGTATTTTCTGTACAATCTCCTGAGTCCAGAAGAATTTCTACTTTAGGAACAACTTTCCGCCCACAGTTACAACATAATTCATGCCTCATATTGTAAATATAATTCATTTTTCACTCATTGTACTACTTGTTACTTTCTGAAAAGAGTACTGATTGGCAGAAGGTCTTTATTTGGGTTGGTTTCTTTATTAAAGGGGAGAGATTCCTTGTATCACTGGTGACTGGGGAGTGGATTGTAACGTTTTCCTACATTTCTGTCATGTTCGATTATGTAATCCCTGTCTCTTTGGCACCCTAGAGACACACTAAGTAACTGTAAGGCAGTGGCCTGTCATGCTTCTGGGCTGTTGGTTTCTACATGCTGCTTCCTTTTATTATTATGTAATCCCTGTCAGTTCAGCTGTTAGAGTCTAGAATGAAGAATAGAATAGAGTCTCATGTAGAACAGAAAAATTAACCGGTTTTACTGGTGGGTGTTTTCAGATTAAGAAACTCAAAGGGCAGCTGGAGGAGAGACGGAAGAACGGCAAGTTAGACAATCTGCGACCTGACGACGATGTCTTAGAAAATGGGACAGACGTGCATGTCATGGATCTACAAAGTAAATGTCCATTCTTGTGTGGAAGTCAACTCTTTCACAAATGCTATTTTTCTGATTTTGGAGAACTCTCATGGCAAAGATTGCCCGGTATCCCCCCACATCCCGTATCTCCCCAGAAGCCCTTGCAAACAAAAGCACAAAGGTGTCTGTGGGATAGAAGAGGGTGGGCAGGTGGGCAGAAGAGGGGTGTTTCTGTTCAAGCCTATGAAATAGAACAGGTGCCCACAAACGTGTCCCAAGATGCCACCACATGGAGTGCTGATAGAAACCACATTTACTTTGCTGGATACGGCAGTCTTTTGATCTGCTGATTGTATGGGAAACCGAAAGGTATTTTTGTGCCAATAAACTAGAAGCAGGCTTAAGGGAGATAAAATGATGCCCAGTCTCTCTCCCGCCTCCTCCTACCCCAGCATTTCTTCATCTGCTTTACTCATAGGCGCTCTGTCGCCTGGGGTCTCGTGCCCTTGTGCACGGGGGCACAAGGCACGTTTCCAGCTTGGGTGCATGGGGAGACAGTACCTTCTCTTCCCCTCAGCTCTGGCCGGTGTGCGACCACGAGCCAGAACTTACAGATTTGCCACACGGTGATAACGGTTCGGTTCCCAGTACCTACTGTTTTCACATCACAAAAGCCCAAGAGCCTAACAAGTTCTCATTCTTTTTCAACCCCTAGGGGATGCCAACAGACAGATCAGCGACCTCAAATTTAAACTTGCAAAATCTGAGCAAGAGATAACTGCACTAGAACAAAATGTACGTGTACACTTTTTAAGCAGTAACGGGCAGCTAAACTAATGATTAACCGAAGTTTTATTTGGCTAACTAAAATAGACCCTGAAGGCTGAGAACAAAAGAAACAGATTTTTAGAACCAAAAAAAAAGGTCCCGAGGAGGATAAATTAAGGCAGCAATTTTCTCAAGGTATTTCTTACAGAGAGAGCAAGTAGGGAAGGGAAGATTATTAGGACATGGGTTGTTACCATACATACTAATCCTTTATGAACAATAGTTAGTTACAGAAAATAGCTAATGTGGCTTAGGAGCTTTTAAAGTTTACTTTCTTTGAAAAGAATTTAGTAAATTAAAAAAACATTTCCTGCTGGGGTGTCCCTCCTCCCTGAATGTTCAGTCTTTCTCTCCAGCCAGGCCAGCTCTCCCCTGCAGGGCACTCCTGCCCCCTCAGGCGTGGGTATACCTGGCTAGAATTTTTACAGAAACAGAAACAAGAGTGGCACACGTAGAAAGTGGTGCGTTTCATGAAGCACGCTTTTGATCGCAGCAGAATGAAACTTCTCTGCTCCTGTCTTTCATCTGAGAACCTTGACTGGGGAACCCCATCTCGAGCCTCTCCTCTTCTTCCTCCTGCTCTGTCCTTTCCTGCCTCCCTCCCCACTTCCCGTGGGAGAGATCAGGTGAGCTGAGGTCCCAGCAGAACCTGTGCCTCACCAGCATTGTCCTGCCTCAATACACTGTTTTCCAACAGAGCAGTCCCATACAGGGAAAAACGGAAGTAAGGGCAGTGGCATGCGGAAGCCACCTTGCAGGCCAGGGCCAGGGGTCAGGAGTCCCTAGCAGTGACAGGACTGGAGTGCTCAGAAATAAGAGCACATGGCTCGCTTGGCTAGAACTTATATAAGAGTATAAATGCTATATCATAATTATTTGCATGTATTCTCCTATTGTATTAAGTCACACCCTTTGATCTCAAATATAATAAAGCAATTGGAGAAAGAAAACAGGCTTATGAATTTATATATATGGTTTTTCCTGCCCTTTTAGGTAATAAGGTTAGAGAGTCAAGTATCACGTTATAAAACGGCTGCTGAAAATGCAGAAAAAATAGAAGATGAACTTAAGGCTGAAAAACGGAAACTCCAAAGAGAGGTAAATTTCCTAGGCTATTTGCAGAAAAAGAATGGAAAATGAATGTCTCTCTAGTGGGGACAGTAGAGGGAAGATTTACTCCTGTTAAATTTGCTGCTGGGCTTCATCGTCAGGTCATCCCAAACCACTCTGAACTGCTCATGTTTTAGTAAAGGAAACCATAGTCCAGCCAGTGGGGAGGCTTAAGGAGAGAATCATTGCTGGAATCAACTAGTTCTACTGTAGGACACGTTCATAAACATCACGTTAGTTAATGAGATAAAGGAGTAGCCAGGCCTCTTATGCTCCATATAGTTTGTGTCATGGGGGGCGGAGGAGCTGAAGAGACGTGGCCTGTGTGGTAGAAAGCCAGGTGGTGGCAGCAGGGGTGGAGGCCAGGACTGTCTGAGGTCATCCAACGGAAAGTGTCCTTGAGAAGCTGAGCTGCTCTCAGGTCACCTGCAGTCCCACCCACAAATTACCATGCTTCCAACCTTTTTTTAAAAAATTATACATACTGTATTTCGTCTTACTGAAGACATTTGGTAAAGTGGTTCATTCAACAAATATCTACAACATCTACTGGGTGCCAAGCCTGGGTCTGGATGCTAGTGTTGCAGCCATGACCTGAACAGACGGGAGTCCTGCCTTCTTAGAACCTGCCTGCTGGACTGGGAAGGTCAACAATAAAAGTGGCCTTCTGTAGGAAAGGGACTGCGGGGCTGTCATGACTCCCCGGGGGCAGTTTTAAGTAGGTGGCCAAGGAAGACTTCCCTTCTTGTGACATTTAAGGACAGGCTTGAAACAAGCCAGGTGGAACTGGGAGAAAGGCCTTCCATGCAAACGGATCAGCAAGTGCAGAGAGAGACCCATGTGTGAATGCACATCCTCGTCAAGGGACAGGTCCACTCGTGCTAAGGCAGAGTGAGCAGACAGGCGAGGAAAAGGAGGGATGGTCAGACCGCCACTGAGGCAGGTGAGATAGGACCTCAGAGGCCACTGAAGGGACTTTGTCTCCTCCTGTGAGTAAAGTGGGGAGTTGCTGCAGGGTTTTGAGCAGAGGAGTGGCGTATGTTGATTTATGTTTCAGTAGGATCACTCTGGCTAGTTTTGCGATGAGACTGTAGCAGAGGGCTGGCTGGTTAACTCACTTGGTTAGAGCATGGTGCTGATAACATCAAGGTCCAGGGTTCGATCCCTGTACTGGCCAGCTGCCAAAAGAGAGAGAGAAACTGTAGGAGAGGTCAGAGCAGGGAAATCAATTAGGAGGCGAGGGCGCTGCTCCAGGCAAGAAGGGATGGTCATCCTCATGTGGCAGGCGGTGGAAGAGCATCCAGAGGGGCAATATGTCTCTTCTTTGAGAATCTGTTTTCACCCACAGGCCCCTCCAGGGCCACCTCAGTCCTTATTCCCTTTATAGCAGAGGGGTAACCCTTGGAAGAGCTGCCTATACTCAAAAGTCTCTAGGTCTCCTCCCTGCTGCAAGGCCCCAAGCCCCTCACTCATTCTAGCAAGATCGCTTTCCTGAAGAGCACTAGTGATCGACACCAGATCTCCACCTGCCCTGCGTCTCCATCTGCATGCACCTGACCTTTCCTGCACACGCTCCAGCGTGCCTTCCACTTCGCTGGCCTGCCCTCAAAATACTGCTTTTGCTGCATCCCACACATTTTGGTGTAGACAGTTTTAGTTATCATACGTCTGAGTATTTCCACATTTCCATTATGGTTTATGTTTGACCCATGAGTTATTTAGAAATGCAGTTTTTTTGTTTTGTTTTGTTTTTTGTGTGACCAGTAAGGGGATCGCAACCCTTGGCTTGGTGTTGCCTGCACTGCGCTCAACCAGTGAGCGCACCGGCCATCCCTATATAGGATCCGAACCCGCAGCAGGAGCGCCTGTGCGCTCCCAGCGCTGCAGTCTCCCGAGTGAGCCACGGGGTCGGCCCAGAAATGCAATTTTTTTTTCCCCTTTTTGTCTTTTTTACTGACCAGTATCGGGATCGCAACCCTCGGTGTCATGCCCGTACCGGGGACCGGCAACGGGATCGCAACCCTCGGTGTTGCGCCCGCACCACGCTCAGCCAGTGAGCGGGAACTGGTCTCCACATGGGATCCGAACCCACGGCGGGAGCGCCGCCGCACTACCAAGCGGCACACTCTCCAGTGTGCCACCGGGCTGGCCCAGAAATGCAATTTTTTAAACGTGGGATTTTTAAAATCTAACTTGGTGTTATTAACTTCCAACTTAATATTGTTATGGTCAGAGAACAGGGTCTCTATTACACCAGGTCTTTGAAATTTGTTAACACTTGCTTAATGGCCTGATACATGATTGACTTTTCTAAATGTCTTAAATATGCTTAAAAACAATGTGCTTTCTTGGATGCAAAATTCTATACACACCTATTGATCAAACTTACATAGGGCGTGTTCAGATCTGATTTCTTTTGTCTGCTTGAATTCTCAGTAACTGATAGAGATTTGTCAAAGTCTCCCAATAGATGATAGTGGATTTGGCTTATTCTGTTTTTCTATCAGGTTTTGCTTTATATATTTTGAAGCTATTAAAAATAAATATTTAAAATTCTTACATCTTCTTGAGGAGTTAAACCGTTTATCACTATGTAGTGACCCTCTCAGTCCCTGCTGCTGTTTATCTTTTGAGATATTAACGTTGCTGCACCAGCATTTATACTAACTTTTGGTTAGTGTTCATCTACTTTCAATTTTCTGTCCCTTTGCTTTCAGTCTTCCGTGTTGTTGTGCTTCAGGTTGTCTCTTTTAAGATGCAGATAGCCAGGTGGTGGTGGTTCTTAATCGAATCTGAAATCTGTGTATTTCAATCAGAACCTTTAGTCCATTATTACTGTATACTTGGACTTGTCTCTAGCATCCCACTGTGGACGTCCACTTATCCTCCCGTTTTTGTGTGTCCTTTTTCTCCCTCCAAATTTTAAATTTATATTTAATTTCTGTGCTTTTACTGATCACTTTTGGGATATTATTCATATGTAACTTAAAAAGTCTTAAAGTTGGATGATATCTTTACTCCTGTCCTGTGCAATAAAAGGACTTTTGAACACTCCGGCTTGAGTCTCCTTCCACACACACACACACACACACACACACACACACGTGTATATATATGTATACACACACACATTTTTGACATTTTTAAACCCCACATCATCATCATTATTATCATTATTAATAATTATTAATAATTATTAATAGTTATTGTTGTTGCTGCTGCTGCCATTGTTATCTTTGTTGCTGTTATTTTATACAGAACATGTGTGTTTTAACGTATTTACATATTTGCCTTTTTATGTATCTTTCCTGTTAGTACAGGTTGAACGTCCCTAATCTAAAAATCTGAAATCTGAAATGTGCCAAAATCTGAAAGTTTTTGAGTACCAACGTGATGTTCAAAGGAAATGTTCATTGGAGCATTTCAGGTTTCAGATTTTTGGGTTAGGGATGTTCAACTGGTATGTATTCTGCAAATATTCCCCCCAAAACAACAAGAAACTCGAAACACTTCTAGTCCCAAACATTTGAGATAAGGGATACTCAACCTGTGTCTCAGACTGTACTGCTGGGACTATTTTCCTCCTTCCTGAAATACATACTTTTTAGAAGTTCTTTTAGAGCAGAATTCTTGGTAGTAAATTCCCCCACTTTTGGTTTATGTGTTTTTATTTCACCCTTGTTCTTGGACAATAGTTTTGAGGGGTATGTAATTCTGGGATGGTAGTGATTTTTTCTCAGTGATTGTGGCTATTTTGCTACCATCTTCTGGCTTCCATTGAGTCTGTTGAGAAATCTGTTGTTCTAACTTTGGGTCCTTTTTATATATCCTTATTTTTTTCTCTCTTGCTTCTTTCAAGTTCTTTTTGTCTTTGATTTTCTACTCTAATGTGATAGATGTGGATTTATTGCTATTTATTCTGCTCGGGATGTATAGCATTTCTTGGATCTATGAAATGTTTTTTAAAATCAATTTTGGAAAATATTCAATCATTATCTCCTTAAATAACTCCTCTTCTCTCATCTTTCCATGTTCCTCTGGACTCTAATAGGAGGCTATTAGATCTCATTGCAACCTCCACATTTTTTAACCGTCTCTCTTATATTTTCAATCTCTTTACCTCTCATCTGTTTCATAACACATGAAGTTTTTGCATAGGTTTTCCAGTTGACCTCCTTTTTAAAAAAAAGTATATTCATCCCTGATGGTTTCTTGTTGTATGTTCATGTATGCTGTCTCTGTGAATTGTATTCTTATTTCTTTAAATATTTCATACACAGCTGTTCTGTTTTCCGTATCTGACAACTGAAACAAGTTCAGTCTTTAGGGGTCTAATTCCGTTGTTTGCTTCTGCTGACTTTAACTCAGATGGTTTTCCCCTTCCTGAGTTTGGTGTTTTCTGAGCTTATGCTTTAATTTGTAGGAATACTCCAGGCCTGACTTGGGGAAATGTCCTGCAGAGGGCTTGCTTCTGCCTCTGCTGGTGAGGCAGGGGAGGTAGTTCTGTCCCAGAAACCCAGCCATCCTCCTTGGAGGTTTTAGGTCAGAAACAGAGCAGTAGACTGTTCTAATGGTCCATATCTCCACAACCACGTGGCTGTTGTAATCTCACCTAGGGCACCTCCAATCTTCCCTGCTGCCTGCTGGTCCAGTGACTCCCGGCTAATGTCGCTTCTGCTGCTGGTCTTCCTGCCCTGACTCCCAGGCTCTGTGGCCTTGGCTCCCAGTTGTGACCATCTTGGCCTTAGGCATTCCTGCTTTGGTTTCTGGCTGCAGAAACCTTGCTTCTGGCTGCCCAGAGTTGCAGAGAGCACCTCCTCCAACTGGTGCAGGCTGAACTCTTGTGTGTTTCTATTGGTTGGTTTGTTTGCTTCACTTGCCTTTTGTGAGACTATCAGGATCCCCAGGAGTGTGCCATGTCTAGGTCTAGTTGTTTCAGAGAAGGAAAGTTCCCTAGTTACTCGATGCCAGAATCGTGTGCCTCATACTACTTTTTAAATTAAGAAATGCACACACACATAGGTATATATTTTTAGGATTCCAGTGGGTCTGAGTTATAACTGTATTTTCAGTGGTATTGGAATCTGGGCAACACAGAACCCTGTTACATTTGGAGGAAGCAAGCTGCTCAAAGCTCACTGTCTGTCTGCTTGGTTTCCAGCTTCGCTCTGCATTGGATAAAACAGAAGAGCTTGAGGTGAGCAACGGCCACTTAGTGAAGCGTCTGGAAAAAATGAAAGCAAATAGGAGCGCACTCTTGTCCCAGCAGTGAATATCAGCTCTGAACAGGCAACGAGTTGGGGACCGCGAGCGCTGTGTCATAGGCTTTTCTTTGTACCGTCTGGGAGAGCTACCTCTCTCCTGCCTTCTGAGAACAACACCAGGTGAGCACTGGGCTCATAGGTGCTCCCATGCCAACATTCACCCGAGGGAGCCCCAGCAGCCACCAGATGCCACTGTCCGCAGACCCCTCGTCCAGGTGGGCCAGCGCTCAGAAGCTGCAGGTTACTGCATAAGCACACCAGGCCTCGCGGGAGCACAGCATCTGATGGCACAGCAGCCTCTTAATGCCATTACAGATGGTGATCAAAGTAAAGATTAAGGTGGGACTTGAGTTTTTGTGTGTCTTGCTGAAGATTAAGGGGAAATTTTACAGTGTTGGGATTTCCTTTCGTGGCAGATTCTACAATTTGAGCGATGTCAGTAGTATCTCTTAGTCTATGCTTTTCATACACAAAACACTGTGGAACCACAAAAGCCATTACCAAGCAAAACTTTCACTGGAAACAAGGGGATGGTCTAGAAGTAAAAGTGACCTTAAGAAGACTCTTTACAGGCAACAAATGAAGCTTTTCTAAGGGATTTTTGCATCAGTTCAGTCATAAGAATACTTTTTTCCAGGGTAATTAGGCAATAGCTTCACTGAAAATGACAGCTTTTCATTTGCATTATTTAATCCTTATATTTGGAATTGAAGTTGTTAACTTCTTTTAAAGAATGTACTATTAGAAAAATAAAAAATGAAATGTTAAAATACATTGGCAATGTGGTTTTAACTTTTTTTCCCACAATATCTTTAACTGATTTTATATTAATTGTTCTGTATATTTGGGGTCATCTTTTTGGTTTACAAGGATATCAAATCAATTCATTTTTCTTTCTCTGTTTTTTTTTTTTTTTTTTTTTGTTGTTGTTAAAAAAAATGTTAAAATACATTGGCAATGTGGTTTTAACTTTTTTTCCCACAATATCTTTAACTGATTTTATATTAATTGTTCTGTATATTTGGGGTCATCTTTTTGGTTTACAAGGATATCAAATCAATTCATTTTTCTTTCTCTTTTTTTTTTTTTTTTTTTTTGCTGTTGTTAAAAAAAAGTATATTCACAGAATTAGTGCACTTAGAATAAAAAAGTAGACCGAAGAAGTAGGAGACCAGAGTAGAGACAAGTATGATATCGGTGTCACCAAGGACCAAAGTCAGGAAAGTTTGACTACTTGCTGATTTTCAGTTAGGCTTTGTATATGTTGTGTTTCAAATACAGCTGGTTAAGCAGCCAGCTTTTCAGGATATTAGCAAATGCAAACCAAGACAGTATTATCCAAAACCATACTTAGTGTTAACCCCGGGAGAATGCTGGAGTGAGGACATGAGTTTGGGGTATATAATTATGAAAACACTCCCAACATGTAATGCTGGAGGTGACAAGGGTCTGTTCCCCAGAACCGTATGGACCCAGGATATGCAAGGCTGCATTTCATTCGGTATAAGGTATCTCCTTGTGCAGAGGATATCTGCCACTGCCCACTGGGGGGCAGACCAGTTACAGGTGCTGCGGGGCTGACACTGGCAAGTAGGAAACCAAAGGTCAGGATAGGCAAGCAAACTTTGCTGGAGGGTGGGCACCACTGGGTGACCCGCACTGCACACCAGGGGCAACATGTGAACCGGAAGGGGAAAGGAGACATGGCAGAAGTCCCTCCAAGACCGTTTCTTGACTGTATCAGGCAGCCAGCAGAGGAGAGAAGTTCAGTTCATTGTCTCCTTAAGGTTTCCTTCACAACATTTTAATACATGTTTAAACAGTACAATATCTATATAGTGCACAAATAATACTCATAATAGAAAACACATATATAGAACTTTGATGTGCCTAGCAGTATTCTGACGCTTTTACATATTTTTACTCATTTAATTTGCGCAAAAACCTTATGAAGGAAATGCTATTATTAAATCCATATTACAGATGAGAAAACTGGAGCCAAGGGAGGTTAAGAGCCTGAGGTCTCACAGCTGGTAAGTAGAGGACTCCAGAGTAAGATTCACAGTTGGCTCAGTTACCTAAAAAAAATGACATGTTCCGAATTAGTGGTTCTAAATACGTCGAGCCTCTAGTCACTACCTCTCACATCAGACTTCAGAGAAGTAGCAAATCAATGTTATGCACGCTGCCTAGTCCAGAGGAGGCCAGAATGTAATTTTCAGATTTATAGAATAAAACTTTTCCTGCAGATGTAGCTACTGGAGATTTGTGGCTGGCCTTTTTCATCCCTGTAACCCCGTGTTTCTCAGCCTCAGCATCACCAACATACTGGGCCAATCGTTCTTGGTTGCTGGGGGTGGTTGTCCCATGCACTGTAGGAAGTTGAGCAGCATCACTGGACTCTAGCCACTAGATGCCAGCAGGCACCACCCCCAGTCATGACAAACAAAAATGTCTCCAGACATTGCCCAATGTCTGCTGAGGGGTGCAAAACTCCCCCCACCCCGCTGTCGACAGCCAGTGCTCTAACCGGAATCCACAGATTGGGAAAAGAAAAGAGATGGTTGAAAACCTGAACCAGGATGTCTATTATGTGTTTCCTACAAATTGTTTTCATTTTTAGAAACAAGATAGCATTTAGGACATAAAGCAACGGACTCTGGGCCGGCCCGGTGGCGCACTGGATAGTGCGCCGCTTGGGAAGTGCGGCGGCGCTCCCGCCCGCGGGGTCGGATCCCACATACAGACCGGTTCCCGCTCACTGGCTGAGCAAGGCGCGGGAGCAACGCCAAGGGTTGCGATCCCGCTGCTGGTCCCCGGTCCGGTACGGGGGCAACACTGAGGGTTGCGATCCGTTGCCGGACACGGAAAAAAAAAAGACAAAAAAAAAAAAAAAAAAAGCAACCGACCCAAAAATCAAAAAGGGAAAAAAAAAAAAAAAAACAACCCCCCCAAAAACCAAAAAAGGGAAAAAAAAAAAAAAAAACAACCCCCCCAAAAACCAAAAAAGGGAAAAAAAAAAAAAAAAACAACCCCCCCAAAAACCAAAAAAGGGAAAAAAAAAAAAAAAAACAACCCCCCCAAAAACCAAAAAAGGGAAAAAAAAAAAAAAAAACAACCCCCCCAAAAACCAAAAAAGGGAAAAAAAAAAAAAAAAAAAAAAAAAAAAAAAAAAAAAGCAACCGACTCAAAAATCATAAATGGATAACATAAATCAAATGCAGTTCAGAATTGCAATGAAATATTATTCTCTATTGTGTTATGAGTTCCTGTTCTAAGAGTCAAAATGTCAACTAAAGAATCAAAGTTACTTTGATATTTTTGAAAATTTATGTTACTAATTAGCAAATACGGATTTCTGGTTTGTACAGTGCTGAGCTCTTGGGGAATACCAGATGAATGCCCACCTTAAGGAGGCTGTGATCTTGAGGGAGAGAACAGCCATGCACACAGATAGCCATAGCAGAAGGTGAGGGGTATTAGTTGGATGGTGTCAGCCAGTTTCACTTTTCAATCTGGGCACAAGCATCTGTTGTTTCTCTGAATGGCCCAGGCCAGATGTGGCACATGTGTTCATGTGCCTGTCTGGGTATTTGAAGGTGACAGAGCTGTTGTCTATTGACTTATCTATACCATATACCTGCAGCCACACTTAGGGAGCACCTGATTCCCTATGTGGAGGTTGCTTGGGGATTTAGTGGATGCCAGCCCAATGGTCAGGGCCCCTGTGCCCAAGAACCTCCAGGACTATGTTCCCGTGCTGCTCCCAATTGCTCAGGCTACCTAGGTGGTTGTCCCTGAACCCCAACCCCGTACTTGCTGCCACCCCCTTGATGCTTTTTCAAGTGTGAATCTGTGTCTGGCGGGCTCTCCAGTCCTCCCTTGCTTGCCTCTTCCCCCTCTTCCAGAACAGCCCAGACCACCACTTGTTACACCACTTGTTACCTGGTCCCCAGGTGCACTAAATGCTCAGCAGGCCCCACTGGTTCTATCTGCAGTTGCTCTGACCGTGGCTGGGTTTGTCCGTGGGCAACCCTTTGCAGTTGCCCAACCCCATGGGTGGCATAGTCACAAGAACACCGCAGCCTTGGGGAAAGAGTGTTGAATTAGAAATAGCTGAAGGTTTATATTAGCACTTCCTACATCTCAAGAGGTTCCTCTTCTGTACAAGATGTGGGAGGCAGCAATAATGAAGGAGGAGAGTTCTTTGGTTTGCATTTATCCTTCACTTCTAGCCTCCTGGGCCCATCACCACCACCCTGGGCACTCAGGGGTCCCATGGAGCTCTGTCTTCTGAAGACAGCGCCTGTGTCTGACTCTGTGGCGTTGAACAAATCATAGCCCCACCCTCAGTTCAGGTGCGCTGAGTTTTTCCCCTGCTTGTGCCTCTCTCATTTTAGTTTCCCCCAACTACCAGCATGTTGGCCCTAGGGAAAGGCCACCTCTGCTTCAGCACTCTGGCCCACTTGGATTTTTCTTAACCTGCTTCAGCCAGGCTGGAATTTTGTAGCCACTAAGAGCAGTAGTTCTTCACCTACCATGGGTTCACTAAATGTGGTTTTAAGATAATGTGGCTTAATATTTCCACATCAAAACTTTTAAATCCACTATCTTTTAAAAATCTGGGTCTAATGTGAAACAATAAATAATTATGTCTAATAAAGAATCTTTTTTTTTCCCTTCCTCTCATGGATGATTTGGCCTGTCTGTGGGGTAATGTAAAAAGAGAAGCCATCTGATTTCTATTATACCAAATACAAGGGGTTTTCAAAAAGTTCATGGAAGGATTCATATTATCTTATAATTCAATTTTTCCATGAACTTTTTGAAGTACCCTCATACATAAAAAAAAAAGACCCAGAAAAAATTGCCCTGAGTACCAAGATTTAGCACAGTTGAGATTTAGCAAAGTAAAACATGGGAGAATGCAAGTGTATGCACATTAATATTACAACAGTAAAGGCAAGGTTGAAAATAAAATATGTGAGAAAATCTGATTTAGATTTACTAAATCTCATCTCAGAAAAGGCAGTTGCCCCAACATGAACAACTGAAAGAGCTGAGTCAAGGAAAGATATAATTGGCAGAACAGGTTTTTAATACCCAGGAATTTCTTATTGTCAGAAGTATATGTCTTTACTGTGATTTTTAAAATATACTTCATAATTTTGGTTTTACACTAAACATCTATGTGAGTGTGTGTATGTGTGTTTCCATGATTTTACCAAAAATGACTTTGCACATTTTCTGGAAGATGGCCTCTCTGGAATTTATCATAATTCACTAAATACTACTCAAGTACTTATTCAAGCACTAGGGATACAATAGTTTTTTTCCGGAGGGGAATGAAGACAACAAGAATGTAAGTAGTAAGTAAGATTTCAGATCATGAAAAGTGCTATGAAAAAAGATGGAAAGCAGGTAGTGGGGTGGTGGGATTCTGAATCAGTGCAGCCATTATGGGGAAGAGTATGGAGATTCCTCAGACAACTTCGGATAGAACTGCCATGTGATCCAGCAATCCCACTGCTGGGTGTATACCCAAAGGAAAGGAGATCATCATGTCGAAGGGACACCTGCACACTCATGTTTATCAAAGCTCTCTTTACAATAGCCAAGAGTTGGAACCAACCTTAATGTCCACCCACAGACTGGATAGGAAAATGTGGCATATATACACAATGAAATACTACTCTGCCAATAAAAAGAATGGAATTCTGCCATTCACAGCAAAATGAATGAACTAGGAGAACATTATGTTAAGTGAAATAAGC